GCAACAGCGACAGCATCAAACACAACATCAACAAGCTCAGTACAGACCAAAGCAACAACAGCAAGTTAATTATGCTGAAGATCAGTGCAAGGAGGACTACTTGTTCACAATGTCACAAGGTTCATCTCTGCCATCTAGTAGCTGGTTTGTTGATAGTCGATGCACTAATCATATGGCTCGGGATGAAAATTTCTTCATTGAAATGGACAAATCAATTATTACAAATGTCAAGTTAGGAAATGGTACTGTGGTGAGATCACAAGGGAAAGGTACTGCTGTTATTCAAACTAAAATAGGTACAAAGCAAATTACTGATGTCCTATTTGTTCCTAGCTTGAGCCAAAATTTGCTTTCTGTTGCACAAATGATGAAAAAGGGATACACTCTATCTTTTGTGCATGATTCTTGTTTTATTTATGACCCTACTGGTGATGAGATAACTAGGGTGAAAATGGTAGAAAATAGCTTTCCTTTGGATTTGGAAATGGTGCAACAGTGTTTTTCTACTTCTAAAATTGTTGATGCAGATTTATGGCATAAAAGATATGGTCATTTCAATGTCAAAGGCCTAAAATTTATGCAAACACATGAGTTTGTTCGAGATTTGCCAGAATTGCAGTTAACTGACAGTGTTTGTGAAAGTTGTCAATTAGGCAAGATGCATAAGTTGCCTTTTCCTATGAATAAATCTTTTAGAGCAACTCAGAAGCTTGAACTGGTGCATACGGATATTTGTGGCCCTATGAGAACACCATCTCTCAGCCAAAATAGATATTTCATCCTCTTTATTGATGACTTTACAAGAATGACATGGGTATACTTTCTTGGCAGCAAAGGGCAAGCCTTACCTGTGTTCAAAAAATTCAAAGCTTTGGTTGAAAACCAAAGTGGATGCAGAATTAAGAAGCTTAGATCAGATAATGGCAAGGAGTATACCTCCAATGATTTCAATTTGTTTTGTGAAGAAGCTGGTGTTGATCATCAATTGACAGTGTCTTATACTCCACAGCAGAATGGCATTACAGAGAGGAAAAATAGAACTGTTATGGAGATGGCAAGGTGCATGTTAGCAGAGAAGAAATTACCTAAATGTTTTTGGACTGAGGCAGTTTATACAGCTGTCTATCTCTTAAATGGTCTACCAACAAAGGCAGTAAAAGGCATGACACCTATTGAGGCTTGGTATGATAAAAAACCATCAGCTGATCACTTGAAGGTGTTTGGTTCAATTTGTTATAATCATGTTCCAACAGCTAAAAGAGGAAAATTAGATGAGAAGGCAGAAATTAGGATCTTTATAGGCTATGCAACACAAGCAAAAGGCTATAAGGTGTATGATCCTATATCCAAGAAGGTAAATGTGCATAAAGATGCTGTTTTTGATGAGAGTGCACACTGGAATTGGGATGCAGGGAAGATAGAAAAAGGTTCAAATAAGCAGTGTGAAGCTGGTTCAGATGTCGTTTCTAGTTCTGAAATTGCAGAAGTTGATGATGATTCACCGGTTTTGAAAACCAAGTCACTAGCTGAGATTTATGCAAAATGTAATTTAGCTTCTGCAGAACCTAATTGTTTTAAAGAAGCAGCTAAACAGCAGGTTTGGATTGATGCCATGAAAGAGGAGCTGTCTATGATTGAAAAAAATCAAACTTGGTGTCTTATTCCAAAACCAGATGATAAGAAGCCTATTGGAGTGAAGTGGGTGTTTCAAACTAAGCTAAATCCAGATGGTTCTATACACAAACATAAGGCCAGACTTGTTGTGAAGGGGTATGCTCAACAGCCGGGGGTTGATTATGGAGAGACTTATGCTCCAGTGGCAAGACATGATACAGTAAGGCTTCTAATTGCATTAGCTGCTAATTTGGGTTGGAAGTTGTTTCATATGGATGTAAAATCAGCTTTCCTTAATGGTGTTCTACAAGAGGAAATTTATGTTGAACAACCACCTGGGTTTGAGATTGCGGGGAAGGAAGACTATGTTTATAAGCTTAACAAGGCTTTGTATGGTCTAAAACAGGCGCCAAGGGCCTAGTATTGCAGAATTGATGACTACTTGATGAGTCAAGGATTCAGGAGGAGCACAGAAGAAGCAACTTTGTATGTGAAAGGCAGTAGCAGTGAATCTCAGCTTATTTTGTCACTTTATGTAGATGACTTATTGTTAACTAGAAATGATTTGAAGTTGATGGAACAATTCAAGAAGGTTATGATGCAGGAGTTTGCAATGACAAATTTGGGAGAGACAAAGTATTTTCTGGGACTTGAAGCTCAGCAATTGAGCAAGGGAATTTTCATTTGCCAAAGAAAGTATGCACTGGATATCTTGAAGAAGTTTGAAATGGAGAGTTGTAAACCAGTTGCCACTCCACTGGTTTAATATGAAAAGCTTTCCAAGGATGATCGAGAAACCAAGGTTGATTCCTCCTACTACCGAAGTTTAATTGGTAGCCTGCTTTATTTAACTGCTACAAGACCTGATTTGATGTTTGCAGCAAGCTATTTGTCAAG